CATTCGACGAGCTGAAGTCTTATCTTAGCTCACCACCTCTGCTGACTAAAGCCAAAGATGGAGAAATCCTCTATTTATATCTGGGAATTTCAGACGAAGCCATTAGTTCGGTTCTGGTAAGAGAAGAAGCCAAGCAGCAAAAACCAATATATTATATCAGTAGTGTGCTGCATGGAGCCGAGCTGAGGTATCCTATAGCTGAGAAAGTAGCCTTAGCAGTTGTCACTTCGGCCAGAAAGTTGAGGCCATATTTCCAGTCGCACCCGATCATTATTCTTACAGACCAACCCCTTCGGTAGATTTTGCAAAAGCCTGAGTGTTCTGGAAGATTAATTAAGTGGACAGTAGAACTGGGGGAATTTGAGATAACATTTCAGCAGAGATTTGCAATTCGAGCTCAGGCACTGGCAGATTTTATTGTAGAGTGCACTCCAGGTAATTCCATTCCTACTCCGGAGCCCAATGACTAGACCTTATATGTTGATGGGGCATCTAGTAGTAAAGGTTCAGGAGCTGGTGCTCTCTTGATTGGCCAAGATGGATACCGAAGTGAACATGCTTTGAAATTTAACTTCGATGCAACAAACAACATGGCTGAGTATGAAGCCCTGCTACTTGGTCTGCAGCTAGCATTGGAATTAAAACTCAGTGCGATCCAAGTATATAGTGACTCCCAGCTGGTGGTGAACCAAATTAACTCAATCTGCGAAGTTGTTGATCCTGTGATGGTGAAATATGTAGCTCTAGTGACCGAGCTAAAGTGCAGGTTCCAGAAATTCTGTCTGAGCAAAATCCCTCGAACTAAGAATGAATTGGCAGATTCACTCTCTAAATTCGCCTCTGATAGTTCTTCACGTTCTAGATCAGTTTTTGTGGAGGTCTTAGATGAACCAAGCTTCATGAAGCCACGGGTGATGGAGATCAGCACCGACCCAGGCACACCGAGCTGGACTGACCCAATCCTCTCCTTCTTACGAGACGGGATAGTACCTGAGGACAGGCAGGAGGCAATGAAGTTGAGGAGGAAAGCATCCCGGTATACACTTGTTGATGGGGTCCTCTATAAGCAATCTTCTCTCTACCTCTTCTACGGTGCTTGAATCCCTATGAAGCAGAATATGCACTCAGGGAGGTGCATGAAGGTGTCTGCGGAAGTCACATGGGTGCTCGAACTTTGGCTCATAAAGTCCTTAGACAGGGTTATTATCGGCCCAACATGTACAAGGATGCCATTCACTTTGTTCAGAGATGCTTGAAATGCCATTTCTTTGCACACCTGACTCACCAGCCTGCAGAAGAGCTCACTACTCTGGTAGCACCATGGCCATTTGCTCAGTGGGGATTGGATCTTTTGGGCCCCTTCGTGAAGGGGGTTGGTGGTGTAACCCACCTGATTCTCGGTGTAGATTATTTCACAAAGTGGGTTGAAGCTCGGCCGTTATCTAGTCTTACTTCCAAGAAGGTTGAAGACTTTGTTTTCAGCTCAATCATCTGTAGATATGGGATCTCGAATCAGATTGTGACTGATAATGGAACTCAGTTTAACTGCACCTCTTTTCAAGATTTTTGTTCCAACTACGGGATTAAACTGTAGTTCACCTCGGTTTACCATTCGGAGTCCAACAGCATGGTCGAATCTGTTAACAAGTGCATCTTAGAAGGTATAAAAACAACACAAGGCCAAATGGGTAGACGAGCTCAACAACGTCCTCTGGGCATACAGAACTACGAGTCGAACTACCACAAGTATTACTCTACACCTGGCCTATTTGATTAATTTTATACTTCTTCTGCTACGGTTTTACCTTAGAGCAAATATGCATAACGTGTAAAGCGCATTCTAAAGTTATAATCCACTGAAATAGGTGAAACACCTTATCATCTGGCCTTTGGTACCGAAGCAGTCATTCCTATCGAGATAGGAGTTCCAAGCCTCAGAGTCACCCATTTCGATGAAGGATGAAATGGACAACTGCTTCGGGAGAACCTTGATTTGCTTGATGACGTTAGAGAGGAAGCACGACTTCGCACTCTAGTCTACAAGCAGAAAATAGCAAACTTCTACAACAAACGAGTTCGACCCCGAACATTCAAAGTAGGAGACCTTGTCCTCAAGAAAGCTGGTCTGACGGGGTTCGAAACTCGATTCGGCAAGTTGGCACCAAACTGGGAAGGCCCCTACACTATTGCTGAAGTGCCGCACCTAGGTGCTTATGTCCTACGGGACACTGAAGGCAAACAGGTTCCCAGGGTCTGGAATGTCAATAATTTGAAGAAATTCTACCCTTAGCACGCTTCTTTCCAGTGAACTTCGTCTTATTTTCATAAGCATCGTCATTTTTTGCTCACTATGTATTCAAGCTCAATTTACTTATCTCATTAATAAATTTCACTTCACGATTCAAAGTAATTAAGTTCTATGTACTCTTCTATACGTTGCAAGTAGGTTTCATTTATTTTTGAAGTCAGTTCATTCTGACTCATTCAGTGACTTCCTTTTTAGGGTTATAATCCTATTAATCAGTTACACTTTAGTTTTGAAGTGCTTTACTTCGTCTTTGAGGTATACCGAAGTCAACTACTATACTGTTTATCTGAGGTTAGAACCTTGTGTTAATTCAAGTTAACTTATTTTATCCAAAAAGAGTTCCCCAAAGGAAAACATCAATCACAAATAAAAAATCGAACACCAGATAATAATAAATTCAAAAATTTTATACATTAATCTCAAATACAAAAATGTTATTTACAC